CCCCAAAACCCCAAAACCCCAAAACCCCTTCTTCATCTTTGCTAATATAAAATTAAAAATGACTACAGTAGAGCCCCACATCTTGCATGCGCACAGCCTTGTTGACTTCCTTCAAGGCAGCTCTGTGACTTCCACTTTTGAGCACCACAAGAAGGCTCATCTAGGTAAGTGCCCAACCTCTGGATTGGCTAACCAAGGGTTTATAGAGGACCAGAAAGTGCAGCATGAAACTTTCTCAGGTAAGCGAGCGAAGACTGAAGTTTCAGGCGTTTTTTGGGTGAATTTTGGATAATTTAGAGCAGTTTTAGAGGGAAAATATGTGAATTTTAGTGCAAATTTAGGTCCTGTTTGTGATGTATGGGTGTAGAGCTAGTTTACATTTAGTTAAAAAATGGCTAAAAGCAAGCTAGAGTACTGCTTAACAGATTTTATGGCCTTTTCTGAATCCTTATATTTTATTATTGTAGCAAAAACTTCATGCTAAATAGCTGTACTAGGCCAGGTTGGCCTGATACATTTTTGCTCCTCTGTTCTTTACGAAACTTATTTTGAAGACTGACATTGCCTTATAGTAGTAATCAACGGAAATGAAGTCGAAGGGATTGACAGGTCAATGAAGGATCTGAGGTAAAATTCTGGATTATTTATAGGGACAAAGTCAAAGATGAACATGTGAATAAGCTCCATAGACTCAACAAGGAAATTTTTAGGTACGTAGTCAGTCGCTGATCAGTAGAGTCACTGAGGAAAAAGATTTTGGGTGGCTGATAAAGCACCTGATGAGCCCAATAAGTGCTCTCAAGGGTTGCCAGATTAACTTCCCCGAAACTATATTTATCAAAGATTCCTCAGCTACTAAAGGGGAAGGAATCATAGAGTTTCTTGCTCAAAATGACAAAGATGGGTGCTTAAAAATGATAATTGACAAGAACAAGCTGAGACTTTATAAGTAAGCTTTCTGCATAACTTCTAGTCTGAGGAACATTCTTACTGAAGTGATAAGGTAGATTGATGCTAAACTCCTTATAGAAAACGGAAGATTTTAGAGCATTCTGATGAAATTCATGAGAAAAATACCGAAATGTTTGACATGCATGAAGAATCTGATGATGAGCTAGCTGACAGGAGCATCAGCAAGCTCACCGATCATCAGAAGACGATTAAGATTAACTTGAAAATACAGGATAAAATCGAGAAGAAATTGAAAAGAAAACAGGTTGAAGAGCTCATGCTTGAGAAAATTACTGTTAATCACGATGCCGCAATTTATTGGTACCGTGACGGCCGAACTAAGGTCGCCACTGATAATGAGTTGGCTGAGTCGCTAAAGTTACGCTCAATTGATTCATTTTGGAAGCAGATTTATTGTATCCAGACTATTGTCCGATCAAAGGTTGGTCTTGGAAAGCCAATATTCGTTAAATTTGTAGCTCCTATTGACTTGAATAATCCTGAAAATATGATAGAATATGACTATAAGAGCTTCAAAGCAGAGACAAGTAGTAGTACAGAGCACTATTGTCTGAAACAAGTGCTCAAAATGGCTTTTTACATCCAAAAAATACATTGTTATGAAATAATTGCCATGAAATGAGATTTTCTAAAGGACGAGAATGATAAAATCTGGTTCCATCATGCGGAAGACATTAGAGCCAGAAGTATATCTCGTAAGTCTCCTCCCCTAAACTTCTAGATATGTCTAAGCCGATATGGATGGGAAAAGTCCAAAAGGAGGAGATGAAAGAGGAATTTAACTATGAGGATATACTTCAAACCCATTTTTCAAATATTAATTTAAAGGATAGCATTCCTAAGAAGGTAGACGAGCAAGCCTTCCACAAAATATGCACACTTATGGAGAAGGACTTTGAAGGAATCAAGGAGGCCAATGGACTTGCTGACTCAGACCTTCTCTCTGTTGACCCTCACGAGAAGATTAACAATGCTGCGTTTAGGGAACTCAGGCCGAAATTTAAATTAAAGTTAAAGGACTTTTTGACAAAGCAGAAGAAGTCTGGTGTGTTGAACAACTTCTCCGTACCACGTAATTTTTGCTTGCTTATTTATAGGCTCCAAGAGCCAAGGAAAGGCCAACAAGAAGCCTTTAAACTCACAGAATTATTTTGGCAAGGACAACGTCATGAAACTTCATAAATTATATCAGATGAAGAGGCTAAAAAGCTCCTTCCAGAAGTTGCCACTTGAGAAGACTAAGGATGCCAAGACAGTTATTCTGGACCTAAAATCTAGCAGTTCTAAGTTGAAAAGTAAGTTTCATGTGCTAAGGTACTAGAAAATAACGACTACCAAACTTTTGGTAGGAGATCTTCGAATCAGCTATTTCATAAGTTAGGAAAGAGTACAAGTTTCTCGAAATCTCCCTCTCTCTCAATGGAGAAGGCCAAGTCGAGCTTGAACAACTCTGCTAGGTACAAGAAGATATTGAACTCGTTGAATGAGTCTAGTTACGGGTACCTTCCTTTGTTATCGTGTAGCTCCAAGGATGAGATACAACGCCAGATGACTGACAAATTTGAAAAGAGTAAAATCAAGGATATGCACTCGACTATCAACATCAGGATTGCCAATATGAACAACACTTTGTGATCTACGGGGAGTTATGAGAGTCACGGGTCTTCAAGGCTCCACCAGTTCTCAGACTATAAGGTATGCTAAATTGAGTGCCTCCTGATTATATTTAGAAGCAAACGACTTATAACTCGATTAGGAATTTGTCATTTACGAAGAAGATGATCTTGCAGAAGAACAACGATACATTATTAGACAGGTATTTATTGACTCTGACCTAGCTTAGGACCACAATATCGCATCCTGAGGGGAGGGGTGCTAATAATGACTCCTACCAAGACGTTTCTAAGAATGATTCCTCCAAGTCTTTCCTCAAAAGAGTTGTAAAGACCCAGCTGTCTCGATCAAAGCCTTGGGTATGTAAGTATCGAGACCCTTTCAGTCAGAATAAGAGTTCTGTGATGGGATATTCAGACAAGAAGAGCAGGAGGACAAAATGCTCTACTAAAATCAGGACATCTATTTCAATAAAATAAGAAATTCAATATTTGCTACTCGTCTTGGGGTTTTGGGGTTTTGGGGTTTTGGGGTTTTGGGGTTTTGGGG